GTGATGTTTGGAGTACCTTGTCTCTCCACTTATGAGATATTTATTTCCCCATGCATTACTGCCATAATTTAAGACCAGTAGACATGGGTGGCACATAATGAAGGCTGGGGGAGGCTAAGCGTCCCCAAACCTTGTGCCACCAGGAGGAGGAGGGCAGTGGCGGATTTGGAGCCCCCAGAAAAATCTCCCCCCGCCATGGTCCCAGGGCCAGGGTGGGGGCACGTAGCTTTTCTGGTCTCAGGGCCACAGCGGGGAGGGGAGAGGGGCCTCAGGGTGGAAGAGGCAGAGTGGGGGTCTGACAGGGGCAGGGCCACTGGGGAAGGGGTGAAATGGGGTGTGGCCTTGGGTGGGTCCAGGTGAAAAGGGCTAAATTGGGGAGGGGCTCCAGGCTCAGAGCTTGAGCCAGGGCTGAGAGCTCCTCTATGAACCCAGCTGAGGCTGAGAGCTCAACCCCAGCCGGGACCAAGCTCTCAGCCCTGCTCCTGTGGCCCCAACCAAGCTCTTCTCTGTGGAGGAGAGAAGGGGGCTGAAAGCAGCGGAGGTGTGGCCTTGGCTGGAAGAGTCTGGGCCTCAGCTGGACAAAGCAGGGTAGGGGGCTAGCCTCTCCAAGGGGAAGCGTCACTTGCAGCCCATGCCAGTAGAGATGCTTGAGCTACAGTTTCCAGGGAGATGCTGGCAGAACTTTCTCCATGAATCTTCTTTTTCCCTTCCCTTTCCCATTCTGAAAAAAAAGCCCCAATATGTTCATCTTCAGGATACTTTTTGTTGTGGGGCTTCTGAGATGAAGAATGTTGTTTTAAGGGTCATTTTTAGGGAGGGTGGGGGTATTTGCCTAATTATTTTCTTTAATTAGTTTCTGTGGTGTATGGTGAAGGCTATTCAGGTTTTGTCTCCATGTTTGGTTGTTCTTTTAAATAGTTGGTAGTGGTGCCTAGGTGGCTTTTTGGTGTTTGTATTAATAAATCTGAGTCAACAATTTAATACATGTTGTAATGAAACCTCTCTCGGGTGCCATCCCCATATCCTTCCAACACTCAACACTCCATGCTCCAGTATGTGTGCCTCCCATCCATTCTTCCATGGCTCTTCGAACCCATTCCCTATTCCTGATTCTTCTTCCCTCATGAGAAGAGGTCCAAGTTGCTAGAAGTCCATAACTCCAGTATTCCATAATCTTGTACACCTCTACATGCAGCTCAAGATGTTGTTTATAATGTACAAAGCTTTAAATGGCTTGGGACCCAGCTCTCTGAGTGCTCACCTCTCCCCCTCTCTCCTAGCATGATGGTTGTGATGGGGTTCCTGAGGTACAACCTGAACTGTGGGACTGCTGAGCCCTCTGTCCCACCAACTTGGGGTATCCCTCTCACACTGTGATGCTGTGACAAGTGGCCAACCTCTGTCAGGTACTGCACTGACATAGACATCCACAGACAGGGACACACCCAACTGAGTTACATGAGTGCTTCTCCCAGCCACTCATAAACCAACAATAGAGAGGATCCAGCCAATTGCCCCCAGTTCTCTAGCCTGGCACCCTTGGAATATGCCATCTTGTCCTTGTTAGAAGCCTGACCAGTGTAAGTTTATTATCCAGTCGATATGGAGAGGACACACACTCACCTTTGTAACCTGAGCTGATATTGTCCAACCACTTCAACCAAAACACACTGCTTTAGGTAAAATGGAAAACAGATTTATTAACTACAGAAAGGTAGATTTTTGGTGATTATAAATAGTAAGCATAGAGCTCAAAGTTGATTACCTAATAAATAAAAGTAAATTCACAATCTGACTTCTATAAACTGAATAGGATTTGAATCAAGCAGTGTCTCATCCTGATGGATGGTATAAACAGGTCACAGGTACATAGGCTAGAACTCTGCTCTGGTCTGGGACCACCCTCCTCAGTTCAAAGTCTTTGTCCTCCAGATGTGTTTCCAGGGGTTGAGTTGTGGGGGAGTGAGGCCAAGTCGTGATGTCATTTCCCCTCTTTATAGTTTCTTCCAGCTTCCTGAAAAGATTTATGCTTGTCATGTGGAGGTCCACCCCCATTGGTCAAGGAGCCTCCATTGTCTACATGCTCTTTCTGAAAAGTCTTCTGGGATGGCCTTTGGACAAGTGAATTCACCTTTAAGTCACCATCAGCATGTCTGGCTACTCCATTGTAGTACCTGAAAGGCTGGTTGTAGGTGTTCCCAAACTCACAACATATTTTAGTAACACACACATCAAAACTTCATAAAACTTCAAATTCAATAGTAGTACATACAATCCAACAGGATATTAATGTTCAACAGATCAAGACTTTTAAGATGATACCTCATGAGGCTTACTTTGTACAAAACATATCATAATTACATGACAGCAGTGAATATAGGGGTTTCAGGGTGCTGGTTTGAGGTACACAGTGCAACAATGGTTCTTTCCTGGAGTTGTACATCCCAGGACGGGCAAAAGGGTGTTCTCAGTAGGAGTCTTCATGGTTGGATCATGGTTCATGAGAGCATAAATTCAGTAAGCTTCAGGTCACAATTCAGGAAGTATCTGGTCAAAGCTTTGAGTTTGATTTCTCAGTTCCATGCTTCTCAGTATTTTTTTTTTTATGCTTAGTGCTGAAAGAAGACATGCCAATCTATCACATAGTGAACTGTTCCCAAAGTATTTCTGACCTGACCAGAAATGAAAAGTATTGTATATCTCATGAGAAGGCCTCTCATCCAAATCTCTTAAAAACTGTGCTGGAAACCTTTTGGAAAGTATCCAGACTTCAGTGTGTTTAACGAAACTAAAGACTGTATCATGCCATTGATTTTTAAACTGCACTTCCATCTAGGGCAGTGTTTTTCAATCCGTGGGTCGCGACCCAATACTGGGTCGCGACCCAATACTGGGTCGCGGCATGTCATGCACTTGGTCGCCTTGCTCTGGTCAGCACTGCCAACTGGGACATTAAAAAGTCCTTTTCCAACACCGCGCTGGGCCCCAGCAGCAGGTCCGGCTTCTAGGCGGGGAGCCATGGGGTTCCGTGTGCTGCCCCCACTCAAAGCATCCTGTGGGCAAGAGTCGTTCAAAGCTGCTTGCGCACCACCACCTAGGAGTGGGACTCATTGTTGGCCGCTTCCAGGGTGCAGCGTTATCTGTGCTGCCAGGAGGAGGCGGGAAGCCTGCTTCTGCAGCCCAGCTGCGCCGCTGACTGGGAGCTGCCATAGGTGAGTCTGTGCTCCAATCCCACGCCCCATCCCTTGCCCCAGCCCTGAACCCCCCAAACCTGGAACCCCTTCCTTCACCCCAAACCCCTCATTCCCAGCCCCACCCCAGAGCCTCCACCCCCAGCCCAGAGCCCTGACCCCCTCCTGTACCCCAACCGCCTACCCTAGCCCAGAGCACCCTCCCACACCCGGAACCCCTCATTCCTGGCCCCACCCCGCAGCCTTCACCCATACACCCCAACCCTCTGCCCCAGCCCTGAGCCCCCCACACCCCAAACCCCTCATCTCCAGCTCTGTTGGGTCATGGGCATCAGCAATTTTCTTCATTTGGGTCCCCAGTAAGGAAATTGGAAAACCATTGATCTAGGGTGACCAGATGTCCCGATTTTATAGGGACAATCCAATTATTTGGGGCTTTATGTCTTATATAGATGCCTATTACCCCCACCTCTGTCCCGATCTTTCTTACTTGCTATCTGGTCAACCTACTTCCATCATATTCAGTTGAGACTTATACTTAAAATATTGATGGCATGGTATGGGCCTAAGACTTTTGCATGTAACCCATCACTAATAGTATCAGTTTTAAGGTAGGTCAAACATTTGGACCCAAAGTAGGACATATTGCAAACAATGTGTATCTCCAATTTTGTTGAACTTGATTTGTGTTGCCAATGAAAATGCTTATGTATATTTCTTTAGGTGTTTATTATGAGAAATTTGTACTTGAGCCAATACACAGTAGGAACCAGAATGATTTGCAGTAAAACCAAATGTAATGCTTGACATTTCACTTTATATCTGGTTTCTTTTATCACCAGTTCTAAATCTAACACCCCCCACCCTGCTTTTTAAATGGAGTGAATATAGTGCTTAAAAAAGTAAAGCTGTTAATGATGGTTAGGGCTACATATAGTACAATCAGGTGTAGTGCAAGCTTCCTAAAGCAACTCTGACAGCTTCTTAGTCTTGATATGCCAGACACCATCTATTCCTGTTGTGGGCCTTTAAAGAACATACAGTGCACATCATGACAGATTGCATGCTGGTTCTTTGTTTCGTATGGACAAAATGACACTGGAATAAATTTCATTTGAAACTAAAAAACAGGTTTGTAGCCATATTTTCAAAGTTTCTAGGCCATTATACCAAGCATACTTCAGAAGCCTCAGACTACAGAACAAAATGATACTGTCCATTATCACTCTCATTCAGATCTGGACAAGGAAAATAGATCTCAGCTGTGAGTTATTTATGCGCAACTTCAACACTTTAAACAAGTGAGTAGTCCCATTGACATAATTAAGTGTGTTGCCCTAGTCAACAGCAGCAGTTATAGGGAGTTCAGAAGAGCTTTCATTCTATCAAAAGGTGTAATCTGACTCATTTAGAGATCTCTTCTGCTCTGTTAATTATAGTTTTGATTAAACAACTTCCTTCCATTTGAAATTCTGAACTAGACTGCAGACAGTGGGCCTAATCCTCCATTTCTTGCATACGCAAAACTTCCATTGACTGGGCCCGTTGTTGGTTCTCTGAGAACTGTAATTAACAAGCTTGCTACACTCATGCCTTACATCCTTTGATCCACTTCCATGATCACAGGTTATTATGTAGGGCCAGATTCTTCAAATACACCCAGGAAGGGTGAGTAGTTCTTTTGACTTCTACTATGTAAGTTCTTGTGCTGTCAGACTCACAGGGAGGGACTTTTAATCACTGAAAACGCTCAACTGCAAATATATTTATCACTGCATGATGGATCATTTATCCTTTTCCTGACATTAGGTCCCATAAGCAGTGTCTTGGTGAACAAATATGGTTGCCGGCCAGTGATGATGGCAGGAGGCGTATTGTGTTCATTTGGAATGATTGCTTCCTCTTTCTGCAATAGTGTCCTGGAGCTTTACATATGCGTAGGAATTGTTGGAGGTAAGTAACTGGTTCAAAAATGGTAACTAGTCCAGTTAATTTCAGCTATCCTGCACTGTACTCCTTTAAACTGATTTTTAGGATATTAAATTACTGCTTGGGATATTTCATGCACCTCTGATTATTTTATTCAATAAATGCCCTATGTATGTGCCATACTGTACTGCACTATAATTACAATACCAGAATTGACTGACGCATGACAGCACTTATTAGAGTAATTTGTATTGGATTTTGCATTGATTTTTTTTTAGCTTTCAGTCATACCATACTATGAATAAAACAGCAGAGATGAGTAGTGGTCTAGTAGACATGCAAACTCTATACTAAGCTCTATAGGCTCACAAACTATATATATATCCATATTCGGCAAAATAGTATGCTGGGCAGGGTCCAGCTGGCCCCAGAATAAAAATATTCCTGACTGAAAACAAATGCTAAATCACCAAAGCTCTAGGAACTGATCAAAGGGTGGGAATTAAAGTAATAATAAAACCACTAGATTAAATTACCTCGCTACCAAAGGGATTCTAATTTTTTAAAAGCATCTCTTTTGAATAAAGGAAAGGTGAGCTTAGAGGTCATATAGAAGTATAGAATACACAAATGAGATCTTATTCTGTCACTACATCAAAGCTTATGTTTATCTGTAATTGACTTGAGTAAAAGTTAATCATTTTGAAAGAACCCTTTCTTACTGAATGTGGTGGGTTTCTTGTTTGTTTTTGTTTTGTTTAAGACCTCACCTCTCTACTTTTTAAGAGTCAAATGCAGGGACCCACTACCTAGCGCAAGGAGTGAGCTAGGTACTGGGTTTGCCCATGGGAGAAGAGGGAAGGAATCCTTCCTCTGAGACTACATAGCAGGTGCATTGCTACTAAAACTCAGCGGTTCTGGTGTATCCCCACCCAAAGAGAAGGACCACAGGTGGATCCTCTGACTGCACATCTGGCCCAACTCTGCCTCACCCCTGTGCTCTGCTGTGCAGGGAGCTGGGGCTGTGCATCCCCACACAGCCCCTTTCCCACCCCAGTGCAGTTGCCACTTAACGAGTGATTCCACTACCAGGACCTTCAGAGCTGTGGATGTGGGGCTGGATTTCCTGCAAAATCATTATTTATTAATCATTTTACACCTTACTTTGGATACATGTTCAACCTTAAAAAGGGATAGAGGGATAAAAGCCAGTGGATTTATACTTCTAAATATAATGTGCTCTCTTTTGTAGATGAAGTGACATTTAATAACTTTTGTGAAATGAACCAGGAGAGAATTGTCTTGCAGCTTAGTAAAATACAAAAATGGTGTATTCAAGGTCTTGATACCATTGTTCCTCTGTCACTCCATTGTCTATATAATTGCTCAAACACTACTATGAGTATTTACTTTTATTGCAATGCAATACCAGGAAATGACAGAACTCGAGTGTGACATAGTGCTGACATTAAAATGTGTGGAAAGCAGTGAAACCACATTTCATTTTCCAGTGCTGATAGCATTTTATCTTCATTTGGAATTTCTGAATGGCATTTTAGCTTTTTTGAATGATTTTGTCTGCTTATCGTGAAGGGTTTTCAATGTATTACATGCAATAATGCTGTGCTCTTTTGTTGTTTAGGTCTTGGCTTAGCCTTCAACTTGCAGCCTGCCTTGACTATGATTGGCAAGTATTTCTATAAGAAACGTCCCATTGCTAATGGACTGGCCATGGCTGGAAGTCCAGTGTTTCTAAGCACACTGGCACCTCTCAATCAATTTCTCTTTAATGCATTTGGATGGAAAGGAAGCTTTCTCATTCTGGGAGGACTTCTTTTGAACTGCTGTGTGGCTGGGTCACTTATGAGACCTGTTGGACCAAAACCAGTCCCTCCTGTGAAAAAAGATGTTGAGAAGGGATCAGGAGATTCAGCCTTACACATGAATAACAAGAAGTCATCATTCTGGCAAACCGTGAATAAATACTTAGATCTATCCCTCTTTAAACACAGAGGGTTTCTGGTTTATTTGTCAGGAAATGTTATTATGTTTGTTGGCTTCTTTGCCCCAATAGTATTCTTGGCTCCTTATGCCAAACACAAGGGAATTGATGAATATTCTGCTGCTTTTTTGCTGTCTATTCTAGCTTTTGTAGACATGTTTGCTAGGCCTTCAATGGGACTTGTAGCAAACTCCAAATACATCCGGCCAAAAATCCAGTACTTCTTTAGTTTTGCTGTCTTGTACAATGGCATCTGTCATATCATGTGCCCACTGGCCGAGGACTACACAGGCCTGGTGGTGTATGCTGTACTTTTTGGGTTTGCTTTTGGAATGGTTAGCAGTATCCTTTTTGAGTCATTGATGGATCTCGTTGGTGCTGCCAGATTTTCCAGTGCTGTGGGACTTGTCACAATTGTGGAGTGCTGCCCTGTTCTCCTAGGCCCCCCTCTAGGAGGTAAGGATTCTTTTTTATTGTCCTTTCTGATGTCACTGGGCTGAGTGTAAATATTTAAGTTATTATTTATATGTATCTAAAATATTAGACGTGCATATGTTACTTAATGTTGCCAGAAGAACTGTCATGTTTTTTTCACCGCTTGTTCTTTTGAATTTACCTTTTTTTTTTCTCCTTTTTCTTTTTGGCATATCACAGATTTAGATTTATATGCAGATTTATATTGCCTGTGTGTGTATGGTGTGTAGCCACCATGGCTATGTATGTAGCTATATAGGTAGAGATACATACAGAGATAAGATACAGTAAGATGGTATTTGCTCTCATTGCTAGCCACCCAGTCCTATTTTTCATGTGCTTTACTCGGCAGTTAGAAGTGCTGAGAGCATCTCTTCCGTAGTGGTGCTTCACTACCTCCTGGCCAGCACAGCTCCCTCTCTGTCAAATTGACTACATTCATGGGACTCCACTTCATTCCCCATAGCAAAGAAGCTACATCTATAGTTGCTACCTCACAAAATGGCTCCTAATTTCCCTAACCAATGGCTGCCAAACCAGTGGCTGCTTAAAAATAAAATGATACATATATAAATTGTCATTTTAAAGCTCCCCACATGCTACTTTACTACCTTACTGCTTTAATCCCAAGTACAAGGGAGGTTATTGAAATAAGATTGTTTCTCACAACATGGCTAGGTAAGGTGCACGCACAAGAAGGCTCTGATGGATGCTGCCCCTCAGAGCATAAGCAGAGCATTGTCCCTCATTATGAAAAGACAGTGCTAGTTAATTTTCACATACTGATCACCACTAGAATTCTGATAATAGAACTGGGATTTTCAAAAGAGTTTTAGTGAATTAGGTGCCCAAAATCCAATTTTAAAATCCCTGACCAAATATTATTTTGAACTAAAAATATACAAATATATACATTTGAGCTAAAAAATATTAGATGTTATAGGTGTGAATTATAAATGTAGATCCTAGTACTGCAAACTCTTTCCTGCACGCTGACTACTACAGGCAGGAGTACTTCCATTGAAGTCAAAGGGACTACTCAAGTGAGTAAAGTTATATAGGTAAATGTTTGCATGACCCAGGCTATAATTTGTACTAAAATAACATCTGTTGAACTTATTTGTTAATGAAAATGTAAATGATGCCAGCTGATTATAAAATGTACACTTTATTTTATTGAAATTAATATTTAACAGTTATACAAGTCATTCCAAATGATCTGATCTCATCTTATTTTCATAGATGTTGGAACACAATAGATTCCTCTAACACGGACAGTTGGCATGCCACCTAGTGGAGGGACTGTGCCTATGACTAATAAAATCCCATCACCTCAAACATTGAAACCTATATTAATATTAAATCTAATATTAATGGAGTAATAAAGTATACAGCTATTTATTTTTCCTATATTTGTTATGTGGATTTTTTTAAAAAGGATACATTTTGGATATAATCACCTTTGGATATAGTCACCTTTGTTAGGTTTCAGAGTAACAGCCGTGTTAGTCTGTATTCGCAAAAAGAAAAGGAGTACTTGTGGCACCTTAGAGACTAACCAATTTATTTGAGCATGAGCTTTCGTGAGCTACAGCTCACTTCATCAGTATGCATCCGATGAAGTGAGCTGTAGCTCACGAAAGCTCATGCTCAAATAAATTGGTTAGTCTCTAAGGTGCCACAAGTACTCCTTTTCTTTTCACCTTTGTTAATATCTCTACTTGAACAGAGAAAACAAAGTAGGGATGAATAGGCTGAAAAGCTCATATTCCAGTTTTGATCTGTTCAGGTCTCTTAAAGTATTATGATGATCTCATGCATGAACATTAAGTTAATTTTTGTTAATAATTCTTTGAGACTGGCACCATTACAAACTAGCAAATTGCCTGGGATATCTACCTAAGTTGCAACAATATATTAATATTTTTGTAGACTATATTATTATCTCAACATATAAATTATTTTAGTATTCCCCAGTAGTAAGCATAGGGAATACTGCCAATACTGAGGTAAACATTTCTATTTGTTTAAGGCAAAAACTACTAACTTTATAAAGGGTAGCCACTGTGCATTACCTTCAAAGGTCTTATTGCATTAGATAAAACATTACTGCTTTTAAATGCTTTGTAAAATGTACTTAAGTTTAATATTAAAGCAGGTCAAGAAATTTCATATGGAACACTTTTCCAATGGAAAAAAATTAAAGGAAGCGTTTTGATAAAGTGAAATATTTTGACCTTATCAGAATAAAACATTTCATTTTTTGTTTTGAAATTATATATATTCTATTGTTTTCTATCACATTATATTATAAAGTTCATTAAAACACAATTTTAAAATATACAAAAATTATAAATATATAGATAAATCAAAATAGAAACAAAACTGTTAGATTGATTCAAAACTCCACCCCCCCCCCCCCGAAATTTCATTTAGCAGGATATTGGACGTTTTTCAACTTTATTCTGATTTGGAAAATTTGTGATTAAATGTTGGAGTTTCCCACAGAAATTCTAACTTTTGACCAGGTCTAACTGGTATGTCAGTATTATGGCCCCAATCCCGCAAAGCATTTAAGCACATATTTAAATTATATGAATCATCCCATTGACTTCAATAAGACTACTCATACGTAAATTAAGTATGTGTTTTATGTGCTTTGCTGTAATGGGAGCCCGTCTTTTAATTTAGAGTTTAGAAAATGCAACAGAATTACAAGAATGACACAATGCGAAAAGGCAGTCAGAATACATTTTTCTTTGATCTAAATGGCTTATGCACGTAAATCATGCTTGCTCATTGTGGCACTCCCCTTCTGGTAGTGGCAAGGTCAACCTGAGATTGACGAGCCTGATACAACCGGGACTAACAGAGCAAGTTCTTTTAGCTCAGACGGTAGAAGTTCATGCGTTAAGATACAGAGGTACCACATTTGATCTTTGCTGCCGATGATCCACCCCGGAGAGTAACCATTACCCATACAAGTTTGGGAACACACTTCAGCGTGTGAAACTCAGTTTTCATGACAGGGGTGTCTGCACACCAAGGTGAAATATTCTGTCTTTGGGGACAGAAGAAGTGGAGCACAAATAGCAGCGGCACAAGGAGACATAGTGACAGCAGCTGAGAAGGCAGACACCTTTCCAGACTCTTGTCTGCAAGCAGCCGCACTGAGTGCTAGGCATTCATTCCAAAACAACAGTAGAAAGACATTAGGAGGAGAAAAAAAAAGACAGATTTGAATAGAAAAGTATACAACCTACTATTGTTGACTAGGCTCTACTTCCTTCGTCTTTCAATTATTTTACTACAGATGATGAATGCAATAACTGCCAATCTAACTAATATAAAATTTGTTACAGCTCCACTGTACATCTGTCTGTGAAAATGCCCAATATAGGACAACTTTTATCATGTTGAAAATACTTTTTATTGCAGGACATATATTGATAATACCTGTGGAAGGATCTGGAATTTATTTCTGTCTACAGTCGGAATATTTTCAAGTGTGGTTTCGTTTTGTTTCTGTCTTTCAGGTTGGTTAGTGGATATAACTGGAGACTATAAATACATGTACATTGTCTGTGGATCAATTGTGATTGTGGCAAGTATTTGGTTGTTCATTGGCAATGTCATCAACTACAGGCTTTTGGCAAAAGAGAAGAATTTAGAAGATAAAAAACAGAAAGCACTAAAGAAGGAAGCAGAACCTTTGACCAACAGTGAGAATGAGGAGGCTGCCAACAGGGCTGACAAAGTACTCAATGATTCTTCGGAAAGGGAAACTAATATTTAATATGAAATATGGCTCAGACATCAATGTTTTTGACTTCCATTACAAGTATTTTGTCAAGATACAGGCCAGGTTTTGTAATAATAATGATCAGTCACAATATTGGATGAGAACATAAATTTGCCAAAGCCAAGATTCCAGACAAATTACCACTGACTGTTTGTTTGTTTGTTTGTTTGTTTGTTTGTTTGTTTATTTTGGTGATAAGAATTTTAGGTTTCAGAGATAGCGACTCCATGCGCATGAGTCCATTCCAACTATGACTATAGACAGTATGAGTCAGGGAGAGTTAAACTTTAAGGTCCTCCATGACAAATTTTCTTGTTCCAAAATAACTTCTAACGCAACAGTATCTGTTTAGTCTTGTTACAGAAGCCATCTGTCTTACCCCTCTTGACTGCCAGTGCCTGTTGACTTCTCCCCACCACCATATTTTGGCCTCTAGTATTAAAGAAGGATATCAGATTATGGGTAAAGATCTGAAAAGGAAGACAAAATACTGAAATGTCCTGAGTAAAGTGCATAAGAAACTGCCTGCCCTTTTATAATGTATGCCCACTACATCAAAAGGATGTATTTATACATATAACTACAATGGGATGTAAAAGATAAGGTTAGAAGAGAAAAAGGTAGATTTTTTTATTGCTAAAATGCAATAAATGTTTCAATATAATAAATACAAGTGTTTGTTTCGTCCAGTGATAGCTAGCCACATCTTTAAACATTTACTTTTGAACTGTGAGAACACTCAGGCAGCATTAATCCAAATTAGCTTAAAAAGCTGTTTGTATTAAAAAAAAATCAAGATGAACATGTCAGTGGTACATAGCTTGTAAGGGTAGCTACCATATCATTCATCAGATACATAGACTTAAATTAACAAGAAGGACTAACTGGTTCAGGGGATTGGAATGGTTCAGCCTTTTATCTCTAGTGACCTAATCCAATACCCAGTGAAGTCAAAGTGAGTCTTTCCATTAACTTCAGTGGGCTTTGGATCAATCAGTCCTTTGGCAATTAGTTCAAATCAGAGCCATATGTTTATTCACAGAAGGTAATTATCCTTTGATAGCCTATGTGAAAGGAATTTTAAGATTTAACCTCGGGTCCTTGTTCACAGGTAACCTCATTACAATTCCCATCTACCCACCCAACACATTAAGCGTAAACTAACTCCTTTGTTGACTGTATGAGCAGAACGGCCAAGAACTGAGACGTCGGTAAAACAGTTGAGACATGTTGGGAGCGCAGGGTGAGAAACCTGGCATTGCCACTGCCTGTGGTACGCTTTTTTTTTTTTACTGGATTTTGGTGTTGTACCTACAGTATTTCAGAAATACTCATTCAATTTCAACTGAAAACATTACAGGTTGTTTTCTTAAAGGAGGACAAAAATACAAGCAAATACCAAACAGTATCTGCCCCTATGATTACTCTTGAAAGCTAATGCTAAAAGCTAATTCCAGGCTTGCAGAAGTTTCAAAGTGATGGTGTGTTAAATGAAAATATTTCTGTTTTATTTAGGTAAGGGAAGGTGCTATTCATAAATGTTGGAGGTACCTATGTATAAATGCATCTGAAATTGAGAAAATTAAGGGTCAGATTCATGAAACATTTATGAACTGGTTATGTACTACTCAGACATGATTCAGGAAAACATACTATTGTGCAGTTAATTTGGCCTCCCTCCCCCTTTTTTTTAAGCTCTGAAAGGTGTGAACATATAAAACATACTGATAAACTAAGCGGAAGATGAAATCCCAATTTCTCAGATAAAATAAAGAAAGAAATCCGTGAAAAATTGGACAGATGTGTGTGCATTTAAGGTAGACTTGCCCCAGTACTCATGTTCAATTTGATCATTTACATCAGGTTTTTGTTTTTCTTTTGATGTGCTATTATATTTAATGTACAATGAATTGCCATAGCAGATGCAACACTTCGTCATTCCTTTCAAGGCTCAGAGTTGTTTTCAGTAATATATTGAATCCACTTCCAAAGCTGTGCAGAAATGTAAATTGACATTTACCAATGGTCTTGCAGCAAAGCTGGACCATTTTGAGAAAAATCTAGTGATTCTGTAGGAATCTCAGCAGTGTCTAATGCACAATACAAGCATTTCTTGCAGAGAAAACACCTATTGTTGCTCACTTTGGGCTGGATTGAAAGTAGGCTCAGTGCTGCGTAATGGACAGTCCAGAGTTGTGTCACCACAAGGCTCGGTCACAGTTCCTGCCCTGCCTTGCCTTGCTTCAGGGAGAACAAAACACTGAAATAAATAAAACTGTGCCTATGGGCCACATTGTGGCATCCTTACTTATGCTAAGAAGTACCTTATTCCTTAAGCAGTACCATCAGCAACTTTCTTTAGTGTTCTCCATCTCTTTTTGGGGCCCTAATTCTGGGAAATGCTAAGCAACTCCCTCTTTATTTATGGAAGTAAAGGGTGTTTAGTATAGTATCTCAGACAGCTCTCAGCACCTTGCTGGATGAGGCCCTTCGATTCTATGATTAACGACAAATGGGTCATTTGGCATTTCCTTATTAATATTTTCTCCCTCCACTTCCTTACAAATTCCTTACTAATCAAAGTAGTCCTATGGTGTAATGTACAGGAAAAAGGTGTTTTTCATCTTTCTGAATGGCAAACTCAGTATTGGCAGCAAATAGACAAGCCCTTTACTTGGTGAAACTGACTCTGCAGCACTGGACAATAGTTCACAGAATAAACATGTGGGAATTGCTCTCCTATACGAATTATGTTAGTGCTGACCTCAGCCTCTTTTTGTCTGACCTCAGCCATAGAGTTTGGGCCTCATCCTCTTCTTGCTTACACCTGGTTAATATAAGAATAACACCACTGAAATTTTATAGTAGTGTGACAATCAGGCACACTGCATTATGTAGTGGTGTTTTTCCCATTCTACTATATGGTTATTTTTTAAAATAGCTTCTTAGAGCATATCTTCACATGCAGTTAATTTCCTTTTATTTTTGTGACCTCCCTCCCTCTGTACTGTCCTTTTTAACTACAAAGAAAGACTTCACACCAATGAGTCAGGTTAGTTCTTTTTTTCAAGCTTTTAATGCATGTAGATGTACACGAACCCTCTCATCTTCTCCTCACTGAACTGTTTGTAATGGTCTCCACTTCTGGATTATCCCCAAACTCACAAAAATACCTTCTGACATTACACCTTCTGGCATAAGGAGTCATGTACCAGAGCCCTCCTCAGTACAGAGCATGAACTGTGAACTATCCGGTTGAATTCAGCAAGGTCTTATTTTTCCCAATCAGCCAACTCTGGAGTAACAGAGACTTGGTGGGATAACTCACATGACTGGAGTACTGTCATGGATGGATATAAGCTGTTCAGGAAGGGCAGAAAAGGTGGGGGAGTTGCACTGTATGTAAGAGAGCAGTATGACTGCTCAGAGCTCAAGTATGAAACTGCAGAAAAACCTGAGAGTCTCTGAATTAAGTTTAGAAGTGTGAGCAACAAGGTTGATGTCATGGTGGGAGTCTACTATAGACCACCAGACCAGGGGGATGAGGCGGACGATGCTTTCTTCCGGCAACTCGCAGAAGTTACTAGATCACAGGCCCTGGTTCTCATGGGAGACTTCCATCACCCTGATATCTTATGGGAGAGCAATACAGCGGTGCACAGGCAATCCAGGAAGTTTTTGGAAAATGTAGGGGACAATTTCCTGGTGCAAGTGATGGAGGAAACAACTAGGGGCAGAGCTCTTCTTGACCTGCTGCTCACAAACTGGGAAGAATTAGTAGGGGAAGCAAAAGTGGATGGGAACCTGGGAGGCAGTGACTATGAAATGGTCGAGTTCAGGATCCCAACACAAGGAAGAAAGGAGAGCAGCAGAATACAGACCCTGGACTTCAGAAAAGCAGACTTTGACTCCCTCAGGGAACTGATGGGCAAGATCCCCTGGGAGAATAACATGAGGGGGAAAGGAGTCCAGGAGAGCTGGCTGTATTTTAAAGAATCCTTATTGAGGTTACAGGGACAAACCATCCCGATGTGTAGAAAGAATAGTAAATATGGCAGGCGACCAGCTTGGCTTAACAGTGAAATCCTTGCTGCTCTTAAATACAAAAAAGAAGCTTACAAGAAGTGGAAGATTGGACAAATGACCAGGGATGAGTATAAAAATATTGCTCGGGCTTGCAGGAGTGAAATCAGGAAGGCCAAATCACACCTGGAGTTGCAGCTAGCAAGAGATGTTAAGAGTAACAAGAAGGGTTTCTTCAGGTATGTTAGCAACAAGAAGAAAGTCAAGGAAAGTGTGGGGGCCTTACTGAATGAGGGAGGCAACCTAGTGACAGAGGATGTGGAAAAAGCTAATATACTCAATGCTTTTTTTGCCTCTGTCTTCACAAACAAGATCAGCTCCCAGACTACTGCACTGGACAGCACAGCATGGGGAGGAGGTGACCAGCCCTCTGTGGAGAAAGAAGTGGTTCGGGACTATTTAGAAAAGCTGGACGAGCACAAATCCATGGGGCCGGATGCGTTGCATCCGAGAGTGCTAAAGGAGTTGGCGGATGTGATTGCAGAGCCATTGGCCATTATCTTTGAAAACTCATGGCGATTGGGGGAGGTCTCAGATGACTGGAAAAAGGCTAATGTAGTGCCCATCTTTACTGGGAACTACAGGTCAGTCAGCCTCATCTCAGTCCCTGGAAAAATCATGGAGCAGGTCCTCAAGGAATCAATTCTGAAGCACTTAGAGGAGAGGAAAGTGATCAGGAACAATCAGCATGGATTCACCAAGGGCAAGTCATGCCTGACTAATCTAATTGCCTTCTATGACGAGATAACTGACTCTGTGGATGAAGGGAAAGCAGTGGACGTGTTGTTCCTTGACTTTAGCAAAGCTTTTGACACAGTATTCTTTGCCAGCAAGTTAAAGAAGTATGGGCTGGATGAATGGACGATAAGGTGGATAGAAAGTTGGCTAGATTGTCGGGCTCAACGGGTAGTGATCAATGGCTCCATGTCTAGTTGGCAGCCGGTATCAAGTGGAGTGCCCCAGGGGTTAGTTTTGTTCAATATCTTTATAAATGATCTGGAGGATGGTGTGGATTGCACCTTCAGCAAGTTTGCAGATGACACTAAACTGGGAGGAG